GCTGGCTTGGTGTTCACAGCCCCAATATCCATTGGTTCCAAATCGGGATTGTTCCCAGGCCCGCTTTCTTTCTTTTCAGCTAAGGCTGTGGATGTGGCGTTTTTCTTTTTCATTCTGCGGAGGTATTCCATCATGTCGGCGAGTTCCACTTTTCCGTCCCTCATTTCCCTGTCCGTGGCCCAGCCAGTCACTGTTTGCCTCACTCCGGGGGCCAGCCCCGCTATAAACCAATTGTTGTGGAGCTCCGCATCTACCATAGGACTTCGGTTCACCAAGGACTGGTATTTCTCAATGTAGCGCTCTATTGACAGTTTTCCCTGTTTAAGCTTTCTCAGTTCTGCCATAGCCTGCTCGCTTGCGTACGTCGGGATAAACCTGCAACGTAGCACGTCCCGGAAGGCCTGCATGGACCTGATGTGCTCCGGGAATGTGGATCCGTTGCTTAAGTGTAGCCACCATCGGCGTGCGTCCCCTTCTAACAAGGAAGGGGCCAGGAGGAGTTGGAATTGTTCTGGGGCATTTTGAAGGCGGAGGTATAGGTCTAGGGAATTGAGGAACTCCTCTACAGCCTCTGCATCTCGCGTAGGACGGCACAACCGGGCGCTCCTCTTGAATCGTTTTTGGTGGGAATGCATTTTCTCCAGAATTGGATGCCGATATGGAGCTGGCGGGCGGAAGCCAGCTCCATTTCGGCATCCAATTCTGGAAAAAATGCATTGGGGTTCCAGACCGTCCGTCGAGCCCCCCTCTGTGAGTGGCTCATAGTCAACCTCCATTTTGCCGAAGAGAACACTGCAATTGGGAGAGGTTTCGTCTACAAAGGAAATGGGTTTTATTTCGATATAAATAAACGGACAAAATAAATTTTTTGTATAGGAGTTTGCTGTTGTTTGTTTTCCAGCTATGCTTGATGTCACCCGTGTGGGGATCGGGCCCAGGCTCGCACTTTGCCCCGATGAACCATGCGGTGCTACCAAGTGTAACGCTTGTTCTCTGGCCTTTATCTGGCCAGAGAACAAGCGTTACTGTAGGCAAAGACTTAAAGCAAGAGTTTCACAAAAGCAGCTGACCTCCTTCCCCGGTACCTGGGCATCCTGGGCGTTGAGCTCAGGGCCTGGGTGTTGCGGGGAGGAGGCAGCGAGAAATGGGGTTGCAGCGCACCCCGCTTCGGCTGGCAGTGCAAGCCAACCCCGCGAGTGCACGAAAGGAAGCTTCAGGGAAGCTTCCTTTGCTGCGTGCTTTGCCTCTAAACGAACTTATAGAACGTTTGCAAGCGCTTACACGCAACATGCCAAAACCGTCGAAAGGCTCCTGAGCTAACTCTGCGCTAACTCATGCTACAGCTGCTGCTGGTAGTACAAGCCAGCCCCACGCGTGCAAGCAAGGAAGCTTCAGCGAAGCTTCCTTTGCTTCATGCTTTACCTCTGAATGTACTTGTAGAACGTTTGCAAGCGTTTACATGCAGCGTACCAAAACCAAGTGAAAGCTCCTGCGCTAACTCACAAGACGCCTGAGGAGTTGGGAAGGAGGTCAGCTGCTGCTGGGGAAACCTTTGCTTCAAGTCTTTACCTACACTGCAGCTCACTTCTCTCCTGGATTAAAGCCAGAGAGCAACTGTTATATCTGCTGTCGCTGCTTCTGCTGGTCGGGGTGGGTTCACTGCAGTTGTCGTGCATGGAATGGGTGTCTACATGGCTCAGTCCGCCTAGGGACGGGAGAGAAGGTCAACTGCCTTTGGGGGGAGACTTACCTAACGTATTTCGACTCTATTGCAGCTAGAAATTCTCCTCCGGTAACCTCGAGAACTCGCTCAATGTGTAGTAGTATAGGCTCATTTGTCGTACGGAACGGTGTATCAGCCTGAATGCAGGAGCTGCCATAAATACGTCAGTATCTAACGGTTGATCGTTTAACTAATGAGAACTTCCGATTACCTACAAACGACCTAGTTTGTTTTAGTTAGTGCATTTAGGGGGAGTCAAGGATCACAAGAATCGGTACTGCGTATACGGTGTAGGCCCAGCAACACGCCGCGTATCAGTGACCCGACTGCCACTAGATTCGCCCGCCAGCGGGAAGCAGGATTGGTACAGAGCAACAAGACTGTGACTTCACACTCGGGGAGTGAAATCACAGCATAAAACACAGGAAAAAAACGTAGGTTTTGGAGTGGGCGGGTGCTATTCCTAATTCTGGAGATGTTATTCTTATTGCTGCTCCTCTGGTCCTCAACGGCCCTCCTGGCCACTGAAGTTGAAAGTTCTCGGCAACCTATCCCGTCCGAGACCGCTTCCAACGTCGAAAATGGTCTTCAGAATAATACTGATTTCGAGGAGCTCCATCCCGGCTACAAGCCGCGTGCCCAAGCGAAGCATACGCGCGCCCCCGTCGGCCAGATTGCAGCTGCGTTTCTGGCAATTGCCATTGTATATTTCGCGCACAGAATAAGGACATCCAGAGCAAATGAAACTGAAGCAAAAAAGATAAATTTGGCGCCTGTGAGTGACTCTTGGAGGAGTAGATGAATTGCCCGATAAGGAGATGCAAGGCGCCGTCAATCATTTGAAACATGAGCAACCGCACGCGGTAATTCAGGTTGAACGAGGCGGTCGCCAAATTTTCTAGTGGCAGGGCTCGATCTCTTGCACACATTGGAATCGCCATAAGCAAAGGAGTTAACCCAAACAAGCCTTGGAGTGGCAGTGCCCGCCCGCGCAAAGCTCAACGCGCCATAAGAGGGCGCTCATCGTGACTCCAATGTTTGTCCGGGTTAACTCTTTTGCTTATGGCAACTGCAGCGTGTACAAAATACCAACACTGCAAGTTCAAGGTGTGTCTACACAGGGAGGAGCCGACAGCTGCTGGAACAGCCGAATAAACATAACCCGAGTTGAACAACTTTACTGACATTACGCTAATAAAGTTGCTCAACTCGCGTTATCTCGTAGGGACCCTTGAAGAGGAAGTTACGCCTCGGACGACATCGACACCGGCAAGGAGCTGTTGGCTTTTGCTTGCCTTCTGACCCGACGCCAACGACGGCGTCTTCGCGTCAAGCTTTTTGCAGGGAAGGGCTCATGTTTGCATTGCCTATCAAGCCACCGCGCTGCAACGGAGTGGAAACATAGTCCGGGCTGCACTTGCACAGGCGGAAAGCGTTTGCAAAAAGTTTGGGACAACATTTCTTACAACATGACGAAAGTGAAGCATTCGCCTCGGAAAACACCTGCACTTTGCCAGAAAGTGTGCCACTGGGTTTTGGAAGTTTATGAGCGGTCGCCAGCAGATACGCAGTAACAGCAACTGGAATTGATGTGCATCGGTTTACATGACTGAGGAAGGTTTTTGGTTTTTCCACACCGCATGTTTCCGCATTTGTTGCGTTCTTGCCGTAGATGCGAGCGCGCAGGTGAACAAAACTTGAAAAGCTAGCAGTTTGCAGATAGTTTATATTGGCACGTTGAGCTTATTCTCGCGTATGTGCGCTTGTGTGCTAGGCGGTTGCGGCAGCAGGAGATGAGGGCAGAGTCTCCTGGGTTGCGGCGTGAAATTGGAATGTGAAAGGAGTTTATTTTATGCCGACTACCGTTTCGTTTGGTCCCGTACTTTCTGTCGTTGCCACGACAGAATACAGCGTCGATGAAGGGAAGCGGAGGGCAAAACAGCCAAATGCGAAATTGCATGCAAACTCATCATTGGCGCTGCGACTTTCTGGTGCGGCGTGCACCGATTATTCGTTGTTTTTTCTGATATGTTCTCGCCTACCGGAGCGGTTGGGCCTCAGCGGGTTGGTGATGGTCCTGCAGCGCCTCTGTACGTGCATGAACAAGCAACAAACGTTCCCGCATTATGCAGGCAAAAGGGCCCGTGCGGAATTTTGTTTGGAATGCTGTTGCTGGTGAGGCTCTCTTAGGGCATCGTTTGGGTGTCTGGACAGGAGAAGCAGGCTGCCTGGCTATCCGTGGTCGTTCAGCTGTCAATTCCAAACTGTGCACTGGAGATGTCTGGGTAGGTGTCGACAGTCAGGCTGCAGAACAGTCCATGGATTGGCCGAAGCTATGGATTTGTGGGAGGCGCCCCACCCAGTCCTTGCACAATGCCATTATAAGACGTTGCAGTTCTGTTTGTGTGAGCATTCACCATTCGGCCAATAGTGGTTGGCTTAAAGTGGCAGCGTGGGTTGCGTGCGGCATCTTAATTACCACGTTGTTGTTGCTAGATAGCGGAGCTCCAGCTGGTCGTGTATGAGTCTTCGGGTTCATTCTGTCCGACTTTAGAAAGCGGAGTCACCTGAGCTCGAGGAGTCTAGAGGGCTACGCTTTGCAAAGTACTTTCCTATGTCCCAGTGCTCCTGCTATTTATAGTCGTGGTGCAGTGAGGTGAGGTCCTTACCCAGAGGAATGTCGGAGAATTGCACGGAAAGCTGGTCTCTTCTTTCTGTCTATTGAGTTTAGAACTGAGTTAGGCGCTATACGAATGGCCGCAGCAACGCACGTCGAAGCTGCGTAGCATTGCACGGCATGTGTGCTCCGAGCGGGGGGGCTTATATTTTCTCGACGCTTACAAATCAGTGTTGGCAGCTGTATGCTGGTCTCGTGTGGCAGGATGGCTTCAACGTGTAGACGCGTCCACTATGCGGCAGGAACTTCTAAGACCCGGCCGGCTTCGCTACCTCAGTGCATGCTTTGTCTGATAAGGGGCTGATGTGTAGGGGCCAGCTGTAGCTCTATGTCTTCGGCATTTAGGTCTCTAACTCAAGCGGTATGGCATTCCTGAGGCCCTCTTGTAACCTCGGTATGGTGGGAGAGATACTGCTATTGAGGACGTGCGTTGGTGCTGCAATATCGTCTAGCAATATAGTGTTCCCATTGTGCCCGTAATCAAATGTGCTGCGTAGGCCGTGTGGATAGCGCAGCAATCCCGCATGGTAGGCTTTCGGGAGGGTTCGCTGTTTGCTGCATTCACTCGTGAGATGCACTAAATACGCAGTGGCTGTTGCGGGGAGGCTGGAAAGGAATAATCTAATGCAGACAGCTGACTTGTGAAGGGAATATGCTGGATTCACCTCCTTACAAGCGGCACCACGCGCCCTTCATGGTTTTAGGATGATCCTCGTGCAAGCGCCATATCCGCGCGATGCGCAGGCCCGTACGTTTGGGCCGCCTGGTTTCCAGATTGCGTTGTAAGGCATGTGCAGACAAGTCGCTTATGACGTTGCGTGCACTCGGGTGGACTGGATTGTCTGTCACGCAACAAGGTTTGGGCAGCTTGAGTTGGTGGGTCTCTGGGCTCCGCAACTGGACTTGGCCGTGCTTGCCCGTGGCAGAAGACAGCCTTGCTTTTGTTCATGTTTAGATGTTTGATCGCTTCTCCTTCCATTCGTGCGTGGATTGGTGTGTTCGCGCATTCTTACCCCACATTGTGGCAACTGTTGCTGCAATGAAAAAATCTGGAAGGAGGACGTGTAGCGGCGGTGTGTGAGTTTTGCATCTGCGAGTTGGCCAATTTTCAATAGCCTTTGGGGTGGGTGAATAGAAGCTGCGAGACTTTGGAATAAACGTGGACCTGCGGTCGGCAGAGGGGAAGCTGAGCGTCGGAAGGGATCTTCAATTCATGCATTTGCTGCGTCGTGAGCTTTGCGTGAAGCGACATACGCGCAGCTTAATTAGAGGACCTGAACTGCAACAACCGTAGAGGCATGGCTGCGGGCGTCGAGGAGGGCGAAGGGGCAGCGGGGGGCTTGAGCGAAGCAGACCAACCTGTTGCCTATATAGGG